TCAGAGGCCAGCAAGGCAGGCAGGATTGCGGTCCTCCGTCAATGAAGCAAGCAAGCCTCATGTTAGTTTCAAACTGCCTGGCTGCCGGCTGCCATCTTGGCTGACAGTTAATTTGCATATCTTGCTGATTAGCCAATGAAAAGGGTAGCGGTCGTATGCCAATTACCATGTTTCTCTTTTATTAGTGTAGATATGCATTGTCCATTAACACAGACAATAAGGTGGTAAAGGCCTGGGGTGGGGTGGGGATCAGGTGGTGGGGAGCAAGGGGGGAAAAAGGTGGGGCATCTGTAATACTTTCAAAAATAAAGATTTAACAAATATTCAGGGGAGGAGGGGAGGATAGGAGGATGCGATAATGCTGTCTTGGGGAGAAGAGAGCAGCTTGAAGACTTATGAATGATGGTACAATTTCAAATCCACAGAACTTTGCATACCGGGCTGGAGAAAATTTTTTTTCTGTTTTTTATTTCTTTTGAGCTGGACTGAATGACCTGTTTAGTAATTTTAGTTTTATATTTGATGAGTATATGACCATGTAGGCAAATTCACTTAACTGTCATTAACTCTAGGTATTTACAGTTTTTGCTGGTCTCATAAATACTGTATTTGGTTTGAGTACAACCGATTACCCTTATAAGCTAACCTTTGTGTAGTAAAATTACATGCCTGCAATTAGAAGCTATATGTGTTACATAGGGATGATTATTTCTATTCAGCAATTTAATTATTTTTTTTCCCACAAGATACAGGGTACAGTGGAAGCCCCATTTGCTTGCAATGGAAACAGATGGACTTTAAAACACACACACATATTAACACTAGAGGCCTGGTGCATGAGATTTGTGCACAGAGGCAGGGGGTACCCCTCAGCCCAGCCTGCACCCTCTCCAATCTGGGGACCCCTATGGGATCGGGCCTAAGCCAGCAGTCGGACATCCCTCTCACAATCCGGGCTCTCGCAGTCTGGAACCCCTCGCTCCTTACAACCTGCCTGCAGCAGAGGGGGTAGAGGC